AGTCTAAAAATAGAGGTGGGATTTCCTTTTGATCAATAGAATGGCTTCTTAATCTAAGGGGACACAAATGAATATTTGCATTTATTATGGTTTGGTGCATTATCCATGATAAGCAATAATCGGCGATTTGCAATCAAATAGATCGAATGTTGATCAATCAATTTTTTTTTCTCGTAATCCAAATTTGTACGCTTTCTCTTGCCTGACGTTTCCATTACCGTGATGAAATAATTCTTCTATCTTATAAAAACACGCCAAAGACATTGCTAATTTTGAGTTTTATTCACCAATTATTTTTAATTTAGCTGAATTCCTTGTCCAGCCCGTTCCGCTTCACCATAACCACTGTCAAAGTACGGGTGTGTTGTCCAAATTACCGACCCGCTCTAGGTAATTGGCATTGTTCTCAAGGGTTTTCCTTATATAATTTGACCTTTTGTTCCCAAAACCAGTGGCGGATGGCAATAAGCGGGGGTGGCAATATAACGGGTGTATTAACAAAAGGGGGAAATCCGTTCTTCGAGAATTCTTGGCAATAAGCGAGGGTGGCAATATAACAGAGGGCAATATACCAAGGTAGCACTGTATTTTCAACTTCAGCTAGGTCATCATATTAAAAAAAAATCATATATTTCCAAACATTGAGGAGTTTCATTGCATTTAATCATGTAAATAATGTATCTGACCTGAGCAACATATGGCATGTGGCTTAATTGTGCTATTACGCATGCATCAAAATTTATTTCTAATTATAGCTTTCCTTAGTGTTCACACGGCCTTAATGCAAAGAAAATTGATGCGTAGTAAATTAATTTGAATTAACTTATTCGCATTAAATTGTCCATGTGAATGTGGTTCAAATTTAATCTGTATTAGCTTACGTTTAATTCGAATTAAACCCTCCTTGTGAAGACGACATTAAATGTACATATCTCATACTGTACACCCTCATCAAAGCTTCACAACCAGATAATACATATTCTTGTCAGCTGTCAAAATCACATTCGCATGATTAAAATGAAAGTGAACGTTAAGTTGAATACCGATCCCGATTAGAATAAAGACAATTAAAGGACTGTTAAGGACCCTCTATACACAAAATCAAAAATGTTTTTAGTCCAAGATAAATAAATTGAACACTTTATTTGCATGTGTTTTCTCACTCAAGTAAACAATGTGTAGAGATTTCTGTTCATCAATACTTTAATGTCTGAGAATATTTTTCTTAGGGTGTAAATATGCCATGTACCCTATGTTGAACATGTTGAAATTCAAGAAAATGAAGTAGATCTGATAAGCTCATTATTTATACCTTTATACAATATGATTTTCTCATTCAATTGTTAAGAATGCTTGTATTAACTAAAATTCAGTAACAGACTGCTAGGTTTTCAATTTATTAAATTTGATTTAGACCCCTGGGCGAATTAGTCTCTATCTCCATAAAAATACCATAAAATCAGAGCTCTTTGGTGTGCAGTATATACTAGAGTGTAATTGATTTGTATGAGAAAACTGAAATTAAAATAATCATGGAGGGTAAAAAATTGAGAAGGGGGGGTTACAATCTTTCAGATTTCTTCTAATTCCATCAAAAAATATATACAGAGAGCTTAATTTATGCAATCTAAGTAATTATAATACACAGATGATAACATTTCTTGCTCATTTGAAATTACATATACATTTGTAATATTCTTGGCACACCGACTTGTTCACTATCAACAAAATGTTTTCCTTTTAAATTAAATTTTAATAATCTGATTAAGTGGTACATTGTAACAGATACTCTTTATTAACAAACTTCTCTTAACATAATTGATCACTCAGGTTTACAGCGTCTGCCAGTCAATCGATATCAAACATTAATTAATAGAGTCCGGCCTCTAAAAGATTATGAGGCCCCTTATATTTTTTGTTGTACTGTCAAAATGTCTTTTTATTGTCTTATTTAGTATTTTTAATACACTTACAAACAACTTGTTCCTTAGACACTAAATAATGATTTAACTTGAGTTTGGTCTGAATTTACTGTGCTTTTCCAGTCACTGCACTTAAAAATACATTTTTGCATCTACTGTAAGTTTTACTCGCATTAAGGTGTTGATTATATACATGTACTGTAGAAGCACAAATTTTCGTGGGGATAAAATTTTGTTATTTGTTATGTTATCTGAGAAGGTTTTGTAGGCATTAAGTATCATTGTTATGAATGTAACCCTACTCATTATATTGAAATGTAAAATTTCATGTGGGATTAACAACGAACAAATGACAAAAAAAAGGAATATTTCTGCTTTAAACGCATATATTGTGTGTATATATATACACTGTATAGCCCTGGCCTTGGGGAACTGGAATCTTGCTCCCTCCCTCAATGATATACTTTAACTGTATAATAACATAATTGTATTCTCTGCAGTTGGAAAATCTTTTCATTAATTTTTCTTTTTAAATCCCTCAATGGAAAAAAAAAATCTCTTCATTTTGAATTTCAGTGGTTGCATTATACCCCAATAAATACATGTATAGTGTGTACCCCTCCTTCTTTGTTTTTTTTGTTTTTTTCTGAAAATAGAAGTGTGTACACCATAAAAGAGAATTTATAGTAGTTCGTATTTGTCTAATATATTAACACATTACATATGGAATGCCCTGATGACAACAATGACCAATGGTGTAGTATTAATTATCTGTCCTGTTTATTATGGAAAATAGCTAAATAATGAAAATTATCAGTATGACTGTCAGTTGCAAACATCTTTTTTTTTAATCCCATTTAAATAATTTTATTTTACTTTTTATCTGGACTACATGTATCATAAGTTCTTTGTCTTTTAAACTGAACCTTTAATTTTTTTTTATACTGGCACAATTAGCTGATAACATACAGACTTAATTTTAAATTTATTGATCCTCCCAAATATTTGCCGGTCTTGGGCCAACAGACTGTCATTAAGGTAAATAAATATGTAAAACACTGATTCACGACTGTAGTATATTGAAATAATGCAGGAAAACATATACAGATCATGTTGATACACAAACACATCATCATGAACTCCGATCATCAGAACTTCATGTAGTTTTGTTTTTTTCCTGACATGTAGCTTTTCACTATTAAATGAATATTATATAATTGCATTCATACCATAAACTTCTCTCTGCTGTGTTCTGAGAATCCATGAACATTGATAATTTCTGATCCGAAACCAATGAATCTACCTGAAATGTATTATAATATTATGCAGTTTTAAAACATAAATTTCATGATAAATAAATAGGAAAATATATTCTTTAATTCCTGTAACTTAGTAGAAGTCGCATCATTTTCATGAATCATCACAGCTATTTATACATATTTCTCTCAAAACTGTCCCAATGCAATAATGAGTGCATAACAATAAAATGACAAGTATCAATCTTTAAATTCACATACTTAGAAAACTTTGTACTTTAAAATTAGGGCATGGCACTGTCTAAATGCACAGCATGTCTTTGACATTAATATCAACTTATATAGCTGCACTATACCCTCAGGTTGCCAGGGCTAGAAGACCACGTTGAAGCAGGGACCTATACATGCTTAACAATTATATCTATGTCCCTGGGAGAAGCAAACAGCTACCCCCCCCCCCCTTTCATCATTTAAATTATTTCTAATATTTACGCCTCAGTTGTACATGTGTTTTTTTAGTTGACAGCTTAATATGTACACAATATTAACAATGAATTTAGCAGCCCACGTACCTATATATAACCCAGGCAGACTGAACGTTTCCCCGGCCCTTAACACATGTTGTGACCGACTCTACTTTCGTTTTTAATATGAAACCTTCGAACTTGACATGACACATAAACAAGACGCGAAACGCAAGAAAACATTTAAAATTTCTGACAATATATTTTGCTACACATTTCAAAAGATCAACGTTGATTCAATAAAATCGAAATATTAGATGCACGTACATGCAGAAATAGTTTCTCTCCGCGAGTACAACATATGCCAATACGGAATGTGTTTCCCTTCCCAGAGACATAGATATAGAGAAGATTTCTTTATGTTTTCACTAACATTAATAATAATAACTTTTAGTTTAATGGTTTTAACCATTTATACTGCAATCATGCAACGATGCACATTGCAACTTTACAGCATATACATGTATACATATCGTAGGAAAATTATTGAGTAAACAATAATGCCGTAATGTCATAATGGACACATATCTTTACTCATTTATTCATAGGCCATATTTAATACATGTACATAAAATTTATTTATTTATTTACAGATTTTGTACTTACCTTGTACAAAGTTTACTTCGTCCTCATGTACATGACTAAGTGTGAAACGGGTACTGTATTATGATGTCATTTACGACGTCATTTGATGTAACGAGCATGCGCACTCGCAATGTGTGTAAGTCTCGCCGAGAAGAAAAAATGATGGATCGGTGGTCATCTTATACACACTCATTACACAGATCTCATGCATCCGGTCAAATTAACACTTCATTTTTTTGAAATGGGATGCATCCAAGGACATTTTCTAGTTGATTTATGACAAAATCCAACTGAACACCACCATTTCGTGTTCATTTGGATTTTTCCGTGTTCATTTAAACGTGTGCCGTCTAAAGCACGTGTCCAATTGACAGGGTTTACAAACACATATTACACTTGTAAGTTATACACATATTACACTTGTAAGTTATACACATATTACACTTGTAAGTTACACACATATTACACTTGTAAGTTATACACATATTACACTTGTAAGTTATACACATATTACACTTGTAAGTTATACACATATTACACTTGTAAGTTAAACACATATTATACTTGCTAACATTTGTATAATCCACTTTGAAGCATTAATATATTTTCATGCCTTTAAAGAGTTATATATGACAAATTAATTTATATTACATGAGTGTATTTGTTTAAAATGGCTTCAGAAATGAAGATGTGAGATTTTATTATTTTAACAGACTGGAGGGTCAATTGTCCCTTTGACATTTACGAGGATGGCATTACTGGGATCCTGTACAAAGTCCTGAAGACCTCACCCTGGGTTTTCTGGGTGGGAGCTAATGCTATGGTTCATATAGTGTGGGTGACAGTACTCCTGTCATGTCAACTCTATCAGGTAGGCTTGCAAAATCATGCATTTTTAATGGTGTGTGTGTTAGCATAGATTCTTATCAGTTGTATACAGCTGTGCAGTAAAACAACTGTATCTGATAGGCTTGCATTAAAAAATCCCACATTTATAATGCTGTGTCTTTTAGCATAGATTCTTATCAATTATATACAGCTGTACAGTAAAACAACTGTATTAGGTCACAGACAGTGAAAGCTTTTCAGATTCAAGTTGCAGAATATAATGCTTTAATATCTGTAGCCAATATTTTTTAATGGACAATTTTGCCAATTTGTTTTATTTCTGTTATTTTTCAATAACTACTTTATCACATTTTAAAAAAAAGTCTCTGACAATTGACCCTGTACATATTTGATGTATGTACAGCACTGTTCTGACTGTAAACATTCATGTATGTCTATATGATTTATTGTAAAATGAAAGTCAGTTCTTTCTGGCCTTGAGGGATTTCATATTCTTGACAGTACATGTACAAGCAGCACAATTCTGACTGTTTATTGGTGTCTGTTTTTTTGACAATATACAGTACACTTCACACCTGCTTACAGGAGACTGTTGGTTGACTATATATACAACTCACTTAATCTGCATGTTTACAGGTGTCTATTGGTTGACTATATGTATAGCACACATCTGCATGTTTACAGGTGTCTATTGGTTGACTATATGTACAACACACTTCTGATTGTTTACAGGTGTCTTTTGGTTGACTATATGTATAGCACACATCTGCATGTTTACAGGTGTCTATTGGTTGACTATATGTACAGCACACTTCTGATTGTTTACAGGTGTCTGTTGGTTGACTATATGTACAGCAAACTTCTGCATGTTTACAGGTGTCTATTGGTTGACTCTATGTACAGCAGACTTCTGATTGTTTACAGGTGTCTATTGGTTGACTCTATATACAGAGAACCTCTGATTATTTACAGGTGTCTGTTGGTTGACTATATGTACAGCAATCTTCTGCATGTTTACAGGTGTCTATTGGTTGACTCTATAAACAGTGAACCTCTGGTTATTTACAGGTGTCTGTTGGTTGACTATATGTACAGCAATCTTCTGCATGTTTACAGGTGTCTGTTGGTTGACTCTATATACAGTGAACCTCTGATTATTTACAGGTGTCTGTTGGTTGACTATGTGTACAGCAATCTTCTGCATGTTTACAGGTGTCTATTGGTTGACTCTATATACAGTGAACCTCTGATTATTTACAGGTGTCTGTTGGTTGACTATACGTACAGCAATCTTCTGCATGTTTACAGGTGTCTATTGGTTGACTCTATATACAGTGAACCTCTGATTATTTACAGGTGTCTATTGATTGACTCTTTGTACAGTGAACTTCTGATTGTTTACAGGTGTCTATTGGTTGGCTATGTGTACAGCAAACTTCTGATTGTTTAAGGCATCTACTGACTATATAAGTACAGCACAGTCCTGACTGTTTACAGGTGTTTGTTGACTATATATATTTATAGCATTTCTCTGACAGTTTACAGGTATCTGTTGACTATAACTTTACAGCAAGGTTCTGACTGTTGAAAGGTGTCTATTTCTATACTTTAACTGCATAGTTCCAACTTCTTCAGGTGTCTATTGGAAGACAATAGGTGTAAAGCATATGACTGTTTGCAGATTTCTATAAGTTGACAATATACATTGAAACACTGAATTCTTAAGTACCATGGATAGGTCGAAGTAATTTGAAAGTCCCAACTACTTATTCTTTATGTATTTTACCCTCAATATCTCCAATCCTTGGATATCTCAAAGTTTTTTTTTGATCCCATTGAGTTCAAAATGAACATGTATGTATTATATACGTACAGCTTAGGTTATATACATACAGCTTAGGTAAAAATGTTTAGATGAAGTGTCTGTATGTTTGACTATATGCACAGCAGTTCTGGTATTTGCAGGTTTGTTTATGAGCTATGTACAGCATATGTACAGCAAGCACAGTTTTGACAGGTACAGATGTGTGTTGACTACATATACATGTACAGATGTCTATTGACTACATATGTACATGTACAGATGTTTATTGACTACATATGTACATGTACAGATGTCTATTGACTACATATGTACATGTACAGATGTCTATTGACTACATGTACATATGTGCATGTACAGACGTCTATTGACTACTTATGTACATGTACAGATGTCTATTGACTACATATGTACATGTACAGATGTTTATTGACTACATATGTACATGTACAGATGTCTATTGACTACATATGTACCTGTACAGATGTCTATTAACTAGATACATGTATGTACATGTACAGATGTCTATAGACTATATATGTACCTGCACAGATGTTTATTGACTACATATGTACCTGTACAGATATCTATTGACTACATATGTACATGTACAGATGTTTTATTGACTACATGTACATATGTGTATGTACAGAAGTCTATTGACTACATATGTACATGTGCAGATGTCTATTGACTACATATGTACCTGTACAGATGTCTATTGACTAGATACATGTATGTACATGTACAGATGTCTATAGACTATATATGTACTTGCACAGATGTTTATTGACTACATATGTACCTGTACAGATGTCTGTTGACTACAAATGTACATGTACAGATGTCTAATGACTACATATGTACATGTACAGATGTCTATACATATGTACATGTACAGCATACTTCTGACTGTTTGTAGATGTCTGTTATGTTGATTTTATATATGAACATGTAAAGGGTGTTAAGAAAGTTTGCTCCATAATGAAATATTTCTGAAAATTTCAAAGTTGTGTTTAAGTGAAGAGACTAATTTTCCAGTCTAACAAAATTACTGTATGGTGCTTTCAATTTGTAAGTATATATTTATTAATTAAGTTTAAGCAGGAAGTTAAAGGGCTTTTTTCCCATATGAATATACAAATACATCTTCAAAACACCAAAAATAACAGAATGAATGAAAATGTAGGATCGTTTACTTTGTTTCTTTACTTATCTTACATCATATAAAACTGATAAATTTAGGGAAAATAAAGCACTGTTATTTTTCTAAAGAATAAGTTTGCCATATTAGAATTCTATATTGATTTGATAAATTCTGCATAGGTATTTGAAAGGCTTGATTGGTCTATATGCCTAAGGTATTTCACAAATATGCTATATCTCTGAACTTTCTGTACAGACATCATTCATTCAGTACCTGTCTTTCCCTTTTGATTTCAACAAAAGACAGTTAATACCTTATCAGTAGCAAGGGCAGACTCTCTAAACATCAACGTAATAAAATATCACAAATTTTAAGTATCTTCTTACTGTATTTGTTTCTGAGAATGAAAGAAAAAAAGGAATGAGCTTTTTTAACACACCCAGTTTGTAAAGCACAGTTCTGACTTCTTACAGGTGGTTTGGCTTGGGATGACAACTAATGAGAGAATGAATCATGGGAGATACAAATATTTATATGGGAACTTCTCAGAGAGTCACAGTCAGGGACAGAGTCATAGAGGTCATGGGCACAGTCATGGCCCAGGACAGAAAGACGAATGTAAACAGAAAGGCAAAAATCCATTTGAGTAAGTCACTTACCATCTGTATTGCTGTTTAAAACCTTTTTTTCTTTTATATTTCCTTTAACATTTTGAATTTTACATTAGTCTGCATATTTAATTATTCTTCAATTTTAATATTGAAAAATGGAAAAAATTCTTCAGATGAGGAAATTTATAATGGTCACTGATTACAGTTTATTTCCACCTAGCTAATCATGATTACATGTCATCATGCACTTAGGGATTTGATTAGATCAGGAACATTATACATGTATAAAGGGCAGTATTTACATAACAAGGTCACCCCAGTGTATTAGTATTTACATTAATGCTTCCTAAAAATAGTTCAATCATACATTCTTGAAAATTTGATGAAGTACGGTTTTTATCATAAAAAGATTGATTTTTTTTCTCTTTTGCAGCCGAGGGCCACTCAGAAACCTTGTTGACATCTTAGACTTCCAGTTCTGTGGATTAATCCGCCCCAATAGAATAGATTGGATGAATCTTTATTCTCTTCCTGGACAAACTCAACCCCTTCTAGGAAAAATGAACTTTGGTGTAACAAGAGAAAATTACCAATTTGTCTGATGACATGAACATCTTTAAGTTATATGTAGTCACAATAGTCAGTAAAACTGTTCTTTTTCACTACAACTTCTAAGGATGTATCTAAATCTTTAACAGTTTGTTATTTATAACACTTAATTCCATTTTCTTTTATAGTGTTTCACTTCATGTCAAATTTAGTATAGTCTATCAAGAAATATTTCATTATTGTTGTCTGAAATTCACAACTGAAGTCAGAAAGGTAAATTTAAAACATGCCGATGTCCATTATTGTGGTACATGTATTCTCTATTTGTTATATCTACTTACTTTTTTGCATAATTGAAGACTTCAGTAGCATAGGCTTATTAGTCCATCTCTATCGCTGACAAAATAACTACATATTAAATAAAAGGCCCACCCAAAAAAATTAAAATCAGTTATGTGATGTGTTAGTAATACATGTACTTAACCATGCATAATTTTTGTTGAAAATGTTCGAAAGCAAGATTTCATGTTACAGTTTTTTTTCTTTTATTTGTCATAAAAACTTATAACCGATTATTTGAAAAAAAAGACTGTTATTGTTCAATATTTTGTACTCAAAGGGATATATTCCAAGAGCTTAACTGTATCAAGAGATTGTTGAGAAAGCTCTCTGAAATGAATATATTCTGCACAAGCTCTGAAATGAGGTGATGTTACATTCCATGAGAGACCTATAAATAGAAACTGTGTCATTTGTCTCTAAACCAAAAAATATTGAAATTGTTGAAGAAGATGTTATAGCTGATATTAGAGAAAAAAAATATTACAATTGACAGAAACACACCAAAACCATCCCCACTGTAGAGATATTGAACATATAAATCTAAAAATAGTGGTTTTGTAATAGTACTTTTCAGTGTTTGGAGATCAATTTGTAAAATTGATTTTTACTAAGGCAGCTTGCATTGGTTTTAAAACCAGTAACTTTGCTTCCTGATCAAAACTGCTTTAATCTGGAGCACCAGAATTGTAACAATATTTTTCCTGTTAATCCATTTTTTTAAATCCATTTTTTTCTGTATAATAGAACAAAAATCTTAGAGGGGGTGGGGGTTGGAGTATATTATTTACCACAGAAAAAAAGCATGAATGGTTAGTGTTATTTTACGTGCTATTGTACTGATTCTTGTAAACAAAATCTTGCATAATATACCTGAATGTCGAAATCCAGCAAGATTTTGATGTATTGGTTTTGATTCACTTCAGTTAAAGCTGTTCAATCCATACTATGCCAAAGGTAAATTGAGTTGTGTCCCTTGAATGGTTTAACCCATAGATCAAAAATTTTTCTTCATAATGCTACCAAACATTTGAGTGTGCTGTGATGAATTCACTATTTAAATTTGTTTTTTCTTTCAATGTATTGTAGATCTCCATATATTCACAGCACATTATTTTCACAAGATAAGTATTTGGTATTAATTTTATGTGGAAGACAAAAGTTGAACGAATGCTAGTTATTGCTGTATTTATCCTATGCTAAAAATAAAATATGCAAGAATGAAATTATTGCGAGCAGACCATCTTGTGTAATTATGTGAAATAAAGTTCTCTCAGAAAGTGATTTACAGTATGGTAATCAAAATGCAAGATCAAAATTATTTTTTTTTTAGCTCACCTGAGCCGAAGGCTCAAGTGAGCTTTTCTGATCACATTTTGTCCGTCGTCCGTCCGTCCGTCTGTCTGTCCGTCTGTCTGTCTGTCTGTCCGTCCGTCTGTAAACTTTTCACATTTTTGACTTCTTCTCAAGAACCACTGGGCCAATTTTGACCAAACTTGGTACAAAGCATCCTTGGGTGAAGGGGAATTTAAATTGTTAAAATGAAGGGCCAAGTCCCGTCACAAGGGGAGATAATCAAGAGAAGACAAAAATAGGGTGGGGTCATTAAAAAATCTTCTTCTCAAGAACCACAAGCCAGTAAAGCTGAAACTTATATGGAAGCATCCTGGGGTAGTGTAGATTCTAAATTGTTCAAATCATGACCCCCGGGGGTAGGGCGGGGCCACAATGTGGAATCAATGTTTTACATAGAAATATATAGGAAAAATCTTTAAAAATCTTCTTCTCAAGAACCACTGGGCTAGAAAAGCTGAAACTTATGTGGAAGCATCCTGGGGTAGTGTAGATTTTAAATTGTTCAAATCATGACCCCCGGGGGTAGGGCGGGGCCATAATAGGGAATCCAAGTTGTACATTGAAATTAATAAGAAAAATCTTTTAAAATTCTTCTTCTCAAGAACCACTGGACCTGAAAAGCTGAAACTTAAGTGGAAGCATGCTGGGGTAGTGAAGATTCTAAATTGTTCAAATCATGATCCCCGGGGGTAGGGCGGGGCCACAATAGGGAATCCAAGTTTTACATTGAAATATATAGGAAAAATCTTTAAAAATCTTCTTCTCAAGAACCACTGGGCCAGAAAAGCTGAAACTTATGTGGAAGCATGCTGGGGTAGTGTAGATTCTAAATTGTTCAAATCATGACCCCCGGGGGTAGGGTGGGGCCACAATAGGGAATCCAAGTTTTACATTGAAATATATAGGAAAAATCTTTAAAAATCTTCTTCTCAAGAACCACTGGGCCAGAAAAGCTGAAACTTATGTGGAAGCATGCTGGGGTAGTGTAGAATCTAAATTGTTCAAATCATGAACCCGGGGGTAGGGTGGGGCCACAATAGGGAATCCAAGTTTTACATTGAAATATATAGGAAAAATCTTTAAAAATCTTCTTCTCAAGAACCACTGGGCCAGAAAAGCTGAAACTTATGTGGAAGCATGCTGGGTTAGTGTAGATTTTAAATTGTTCAAATCATGACCCCCGGGGGTAGGGTGGGGCCACAATAGGGAATCCAAGTTTTACATTGAAATATATAGGAAAAATCTTTAAAAATCTTCTTCTCAAGAACCACTGGGCCAGATAAGCTGAAACTTAGGTGGAAGCATCCTAGGGTAGTGTAGATTCCAATTGTTCAAATCATGATCCCCGGGGGTAGGGTGGGGCCACAATAAGTACTACGGGGGGGGGGGGGGGGAGAAATCAGGTGAAAAACAGCAAGGCCAAAGTTACTCAGGTGAGCGCTGTGGCCCATGGGCCTCTTGTTACATTGAATGATAAAGTTTCAAGTCAAAAAGCCTACTAATATTTGAGATCTATGGGCTTTCCCTTGTTACCAAGGGACATAACTTTTCAAATTTGTGGCTACATCTTTGGTTGGTTGAAGGCAGATGTTCATTGAACAATTCAATTTTTGCACTAGAATATGTTTTGTTTGATTGGTTCTTGTTGTTAATAAGAACAAGTGTTACCTGATTTTGATACAGATTTTCTCATATTGAACTCATGTCAAATCAGGACAATCCAGAATTAGGTTAATGTATTATTTAAATATCAATACTGTGGTCATCTTCAATAGCACTGATCAATGATTAATATATATAATATGTCTACATGTAAAAACAGGGAATTTAACTCCTAATTATTGCACTGTCTGATACACTCATTTTTCACCATCATCCCAAAAAGATAACCATCAGGACAGTCATATGTAAGTTTTACCTGTGCTTTTTATGCCTGATGTATGAAATGTTGCAATCCAGCCTGTTGATTTATTGTGTTTATATTTATTTGTAATATTCAAACCTTAGTATAAAGTTTCAGTTCATATCCAATCTCTGATACAATGTTGTACATTCTTAATACATGTACTTGATCATGTTGATGGATAATTGTAAATACTACTTTGATTTATTTATTTTGTTTCCATTACATTGCCAAAATATATTACATTCATGCTTTTCTTTTTTTTTTAATTTGTAACCTTTGTATCATTATTACTTTTTTGTGAAGAATATAGACTTGGTTTTGTCAAAGTATGTTTGGATTATCACATTTTATGCATTTACAATCTCTGTAGAATCCATCAAATTTCACATGCATATACAATCTGTAGCAAAAAATCTACTAGAAATGGAATTCTGTTGCCTGGACTTTGTTTTCACAAGAAACTGTGAATGATATAACATCCTTTCCCAATTGTATATAAATTGAGAAAAAACTGTTCTTTTGCAAGAGAAAGTCTGCCACAAAAAGTGGTGTACAGAGTTTGTTGGGAAATAACAACAACCAAACATATCTAACTAAAAAAATAAAATCAGGAAAAAAAAAATACAGTGTTCTATCAGAACTGTTGAGTAGTACCAGAGTACAGCCAAAAACACAGTGTTCTATCAGAACTATTGAGTAGTGTCAGAGTACAGCCAAAAACACAGTGTTCTATCAGAACTGTTGAGTAGTACCAGAGTATAACAAAATTCATTTCTTTATACAGGAGATGTGTAATTTTTGCTCCCCCTTTATTTATGTAATTATTATAATTAATTTTTGCTCCCCCTTTCACTGTGCCATTTCTGTGGAGTAGTTAGACTACATTGTCTATGCTTGTTATTTTGCAGATTTTGTTAAGTATGATTTGATCACAGATTTTTTTTACTTTTATATACGGTTGCTGTTCTGTGATATCTTTATTGTAATGTAGCGTTTCCCTCTATCTTTAAATAAATCAGAAAATGAAACCTGTTTTTTATCGAGAGAGTTGTTGCAAAGATGTTGCTAGAAGAGTTCATAGCCAAATGTGCTTGCATTAATAAAAATTCCTCTTATAAACAGATGTTTTGAAAAATTTTGTCTTTTTAAATGAAAGACAATGTAATAAATTAGTTTCTACATAATACCTCCTTCTAGAAGACCCCTTTCCCGGTTCATGGTCATTTTAAGACCATTTAAACCTCGTCGAAAAGAACCCTGTATGAAAATGTAGGAAATTGCATAAAATATTAGGCTTACAGCTGGAACATATTTTATGATGGAAGAACAAATACAATAATTCATATTTCTATAATTCATTTTTAGCTCACCTGAGCTGAAAGCTCAAGTGAGCTTTTCTGATCACCCATTGTCCGTCCGTCTGTAAACTTTTCACATTTTCAACTTCTTCTCAAGAACCACTGGGCCAATTTTAACCAAACTTGATACAAAGTATCCTTGGGTAAAGGGGAGTTTAAATTGTTGAAATAAAGGGCCAAGTCCCCTTACAAGGGGAGATAATCAAGAAAAGACAAAAATAGGGTGGGGTCATTAAAAAATCTTCTCAGGAACCACTGGGCCAAAAAAGCTGAAACTTATGTGGAAGCATCCTGGAGTAGTGAAGATTCTAAATTGTTCAAATCATGACCCCTGGGGGTAGGGCGGGGTCACAATAGGGAATCCAAGTTTTACAATTGAAATATGTAGGAAAAATCTTCTTCTCAAGAACCACTGGACCAGAATAGCTGAAACTTATGTGGAAGCATCCTGGGGTAGTGTAGATTCTAAATTGTTCAAATCATAACCCCCGGGGGTAGGGCGGGGCCACAATAGGGAATCCAAGTTTTACAATGAAATATATAGGAAAAATCTTTAAAAATCTTCTTCTAAAGAGCCACTGGACCAGAATAGCTGAAACTTATGTGGAAGCATCCTGGGGTAGTGTAGATTCTAAATTGTTCAAATCATGACCCTCGGGGGTAGGGCGGGGCTATAATAGGTATTGCAAGGGGGAAATCTGGTAAAGAACAGCATGGCCGAAGTTACTCAGGTGAGCGATGTGGCCCATGGGCCTCTTGTTATGTTTCATTAAACGTTTAAAATCAGTCTGTCACAATATAAAAAGTGTATGTAAAATCCTATTTCAGGGAATGGAAGAATAGTTTAACTTGTCGCAGAATATATTTTAATGTTAAAAAATTTCATAGATGCGTTTTAATGCATGGGACCGCTTTATGAACGGCCGAAGCAGCGGTTGATCTATTTGTTGTTGTGTTAGAAAATGCACGTGGGAAATGAGGCGCGATTCATTAATTTTTGAAACGATAATTCCTTTTTTGATATAGCATGCATACATGATAGAATAAAATAATAATAATTTTTTTTAATATTATATTTAGTCATTAATATTAACTGATTAATGCGTTTCATTGTTTTAACAATTTTAATCAGATATATTAATACCCGATTTTACAAACAAGAGGCCCATGGGCCACATCGCTCACCTGAGTAACTTTGGCCATGCTGTTCTTTACCAGATTTCCCCTTTTAATATACCTATTGTGGCCCCGCCCTACCCCTGGGGGTCATGATTTGAACAATTTAGATTCTACACTACCCCAGGATGCTTCCATATATAAGTTTCAGCTTTTCTGGCCCAGTGGTTCTTGAGAAGAAGATTTTTAAAGATTTTTCCTATATATTTCAATGTAAAACTTGGATTCCCTATTGTGGCCCCGCCCTACCCCCGGGGGTCATGATTTGAACAATTTAGATTCTACACTACCCCAGGATGCTTCCATATATAAGTTTCAGCTTTTCTGGCCCAGTGGTTCTTGAGAAGAAGATTTTTCTAATATATTTCAATGTAAAACTTGGATTCCCTATTGTGGCCCCGCCCTACCCCCGGGGGTCATGATTTGAACAATTTAGAATCCACACTACCCCAGGATACTTCCATATAAGGTTCAGCTTTTCTGGCCCAGTGGTTCTTGAGAAGAAGATTTTTAAAGATTTTTCCTATATATTTCAATGTAAAACTTGGATTCCCTATTGTGGCCCCGCCCTACCCCCAGGGGTCATGATCTGAACAATTTAGAATCTACACTACCCCAGGATGCTTCCATATAAGTTTCAGCTTTTCTGGCCCAGTGGTTCTTGAGAAGAAGATTTTTAAAGATTTTTCTTATATATTTCAATGTACAACTTGGATTCCCTATTGTGGCCCCGCCCTACCCCCGGGGGTCATGATTTGAACAATTTAGAATCCACACTACCCCAGGATGCTTCCATATAAGTTTCAGCTTTTCTGGCCCAGTGGTTCTTGAGAAGAAGATTTTTAAAGATTTTTCTTATATATTTCAATGTAAAACTTGGATTCCCTATTATGGCCCCGCCCTACCCCAGTGGTCATGATTGGAACAATTTAGAATCTACACTACCCCAGGATGCTTCCATATAAGTTTCAGCTTTTCTGGCCCAGTGGTTCTTGAGAAGAAGATTTTTAAAGATTTTTCTTATATATTTCAATGTAAAACTTGGATTCCCTATTGTGGCCCCGCCCTTCCCCCGGGGGTCATGATTTGAACAATTTAGAATCTACACTACCGCAGGATGCTTCCACATAAGTTTCAGCTTTTCTGGCCAAGTGGTTCTTGAGAAGAAGAATTTTAAAAGATTTTTCTTATTAATTTCAATGTACAACTTGGACTCCCTCTTGTGGCCCCGCCCTACCCCCGGGGGTCATGATTTTAACAATTTAGAATCTACACTACCCCAGGATGCTTCCACCTAAGTTTCAGCTTTCCTGGCCCAGTGGTTCTTGAGAAGAAGATTTTTAAAGATTTTTCCTATATATTTCTATGTAAAACATTGATTCCACATTGTGGCCCCGCCCTACCCCCGGGGGTCATGATTTGAACAATTTAGAATCTACACTACCCCAGGATGCTTCCATATAAGTTTCAGCTTTACTGGCTTGTGGTTCTTGAGAAGAAGATTTTTTAATGACCCCACCCTATTTTTGTCTTCTCTTGATTATCTCCCCTTGTGAGGGGACTTGGCCCTTCATTTTAACAATTTAAATTCCCCTTCATCCAAGGATGCTTTGTACCAAGTTTGGTCAAAATTGGCCCAGTGGTTCTTGAGAAGAAGTCAAAAATGTGAAAAGTTTACAGACGGACAGACAGACGGACGGACGACGGACAAAATGTGATCAGAAAAGCTCACTTGAGCCTTCGGCTCAGGTGAGCTAAAAAAAGTTTTTAAAAGAAGTGTCCTAGAATAGGAGTGTGTAGCGTATAAAAGCAATTCGATACTAGTTTCAAGATAATTACAGAAATTACAGAGAGAGGGAGAGAGAGAGAGATGGTTCTAAATTCTATTTTGAACTTTTTACAGAAGATAAGGATAAAATAAACGATTTTTTTTTTTACTTCTTTTATTTTATCATGTTTATTGTGACGTCCATCATCTACAGAAATCATTGGCCCATTACGTGACATGATCAACACGTGAAAAGTTTGCGGCCGATTTGATGCTTTGTATCAAAATATTGTTATCAGACTGATTTGCTGTTTCCGGAATTAAGAACGTCAAGCAAAACACCTGTTTTGTACAGCTGATGGATGATTTGTTCCGATAGTTTGCAAGATTTCGTTCATCTATAGGCTACCAGTATCTGTGTAGTGGAATTTTAAGGGAATGATTGTTGAGTATTACTGAAAATTTAATACAAGACCGAATGACTGAAATTAGACGTTTTAAGCTCTTACAAAAATCTCTATCTTTTAAGTTTTGTTATATACTGTACAGGATCCCTTCGTATCTGACTGACTCGCTTTATCAATGTCATAATGAAATCAGAATGGATTCCTTCAATAAGATTGCAATCTGAAAAGAAATAACTTGGAAGATTATGTGTAGACAAACAATGAAATAGGTCATCAAGGAGACCGAGTACATTGGTTGCAAAGTGGTCCTCTGTCCATGACAATGCTGGAAAGACATGACACGCGCGGAGGAATATCATCTTCAAATGGTAGGAGTGGAGAAAATCAGGGTAAGTCAAATGCCAGTATCGTATGCTTTTAAACAGTCTGTAGCACGTGATAGCAAATGGGATTTTTTCTTGAATTTCACGCAGAAGACCAATTTCTAATCTGTTGAACGACAACCTCCATTCAATACTTGCATGTCCCGCTGGAGAACATTTTCCGACCAAATGCAAAGATTCATTTCTTAATCGTTGCACCGTATCTTCAGACAGCCACTTGGGTTGTCCGTGAGTTTCGATCCAAGGAAGAAAACCTCCTGGAAGAGTTCTGGATGGGAGTTCCAAAGCAACAACTAAATCACAGCTCACTTTTACATTGTCTAATCCCCCTAAATGTAACGTCACGGCAGGAGGGTTTAACTCCAATTTGAACTGGTCTTTCAGAAGTGGGATCTGTCCAAATATATGTTCAATCTGTTCATATAAATCTTTCACAATTAGTAAAGGATTTAAATACATTTCACTTTTTCGTCCTGGAGAGCTAGGGAATGTGCAGAATTGTCCCCACTTAAGTCTACACTGGGGACTATTGACGTAGAGAAGAAAGTAACCCTTGGTGGTCCCCTCTTGTTGTACCATAATGATCGGACTCTCCTTCGTTGTACCAACTTCTACGTCTCGAAATACACATAAAATATCCATTTCAAACTCCATCTCTACCTGTCCATTAGGTCCCCTGGACATGTTGGGGATATTAACTCCTTCTGATGTACAACTCAACCCCAGCCTACCGTGGGTGTCTCTGTAAAGGTTTGTGTAAACAGTTCTTGAGAGCTGCAAAAACGGATGGGAATATTTTAGCAGAGATGTCATCCATCGCTTTAAATCCTTCCTGTCCAAGGAATTTTTCCTTTATGGTATCATTTAAAGCCGACAAAGACTGACCAGAGAGTCGGTCAAGGTCCGAACAATTCTCAACACTCTCCGCCATTGTAATGCAGAGTGCCTCTGTTTATATCTTTATGCTTGAGTGGAAACACTTTCACTCTCAGAGCGCGAAAACTTTAAATTTCTAACACACTTGAATGTCTGTCATTATTTAAAGAGTAATGGTTGTTGCAACAGGGGCCAGTAACGTACTTGATTTACGTGATCATTATGAATACAAAATTTTTATATAAAGTGATCAAGTAAAATCAAGCAAAGTATGTTACTGGCCCCTGTGGTTTGCTTAATGCGTCTCTTACGATAAATTTTCATTCATGTAAGGACGCTACCAATCGCTGGTGGAAGACTTGACTGCTAAACTGGTACTTATGGCCATTGAGCAATGAGAATGAGGGATTTTTTTGTGCCATCAGGACATCGGTGTTTTGTCTCATCAGAAGGGCATGTCTCTAATTACGTCCTGTAGTGGATTCGAACCCGCCAGGTATAAGGATCAACTCTTTACCTAATATTTGAAGGGTGATATTCTTCAAAATGAAATCTAAATCAATTTAAGACATTATACAGTATTGTAGAGCATTATCTTGTGTCTAAAATACGATTTCCAATTAGAAATAATATATATATGTTATCTCCTTTTCAGAAAATAAAATATAAATATTTTTATATAAAACTGAATTGATGTTTCTGTATTCATGCGGCCTTTTTAAAGATATTATTTTAATTGCAGGTATTCAAATCTAGTAGTCTTTCAACCAGAAAAAACATCCGCAAAGATTTGAAAATAAATCCTTCAGGCTATTATTTTTTATCCTAATAATAATGATATTTTACGTTTTCTTAATTGTTAAAGTTGCTAAACTTTTCAGAGTACAGAGGTCTTGAATGTTAAAACATCGACAGTTTACATGTTTATCATTAAAATGGTCATACCTTCTAGTTTTTCATTAAAATGGTCAGACCTTCTAGTTTATCATTAAAATACATGATTTCTTGGAGGTAAATATGTCTGCAGCCGAGAAAAATTTAGAAAATGCCACGGACTATGAGAGGTAAGTATTTCATCATTTTATTCCAAGAATTTCTTTCCGGTATAGCTTTGGAGTGAACTCAATATAAGTGAAAACGCTAATCACCGATATTCCCCTAAGAGTGAGACGATTTAATGGCAGAAGTTTTTAGAGGTGGATCTAAAAGAAAAAAAATTACAAAGATTTTCTTCGAATGTTATTAATAGAATTTATTTCCTTTACGATGATCAATTATTTTGCTGCCATTTATTCTTCTCTTTTGAATGTGGAATTTATTTCAATTTAATTATGAGTTGGAAAATAGCTATTTTTATTTCCTTTAAATTGATCCATTATTTTGCTGCCATGCATTTTTTTTTTAAATGTGGAATTTATTTCAATTTTATTTAGAATTGATTAATCTTGAAAAAAGCGATTTTTGATTCAAGTCCAATAATATTTCTGAATCTAAGGAGAATCCATAGTCTCCAAGCCCTGCTTACACACCACAATTTAAGAAACCCCTACCCTGTATATTTTACTTTCCTCTTGAGAAAAAGCTGAATATGTTGCTAGTAAATCTACAAACACTTCCTCTGAGTACCTTACACGCCAATCAACTGTAACAAAATATATGACAAGAGTCTGATAAAGAAATTAACAAATGAAGACATTCAATAAACGTTTGTGTATAAAACTGGAATCCAATTTAAAACAATTATATACTCTCTGTCATAACAGGAAGTCAACTGTACCGGAAGTTTTATGTCCGGTTGTGTCGTCAATGTACGTGATGTTAAAAAAATCTGTTCCAGTTACCTCTATTTCTACACGTCCTCTCACATAAACTGGCCATTCTCCTTCTGGTGGATTCACGCTTATCATGCCATGAGAACGACACGTGGGGTCTGTGGTATACAGAGGCGACTGAAGTGAGGACGAGAACACCTCTATTTCCTTATGCTCTCTTCTGTCTTTTTGACGATCTTCACCCACGTGACTGATATTAACACCGATAGAACGCTTAGTTCCAATTGCTAAAGGTTCACCTACTTCAAAAAACTTTTCAAAGCAATCATCAGCTCTCCACTGTCCGTCTTCTAAGAAACTTTTCGATACATCATGGACATGGGGGTTGAATTTTTTAAGAACTGCTATTCCGTACGTGTATGGGCAAATTCGAGTTTGGATTACACTTCTATCAAATCCAAAAATTACCGCCCCCTTCAAGACAGCCAATCCTGCGTCTAGAGGAATCTTGATGTCATATCCAGGGAAACTCTCTCTGAATATACTTTGCACCAACTTTGATTCTGAAAATCCTCCAACCATCATCAGAGTCTTTATTTTTTGACACTGTGCATTTTCCTCTACCATGGTCTTCACTAAGTTTATGGTCTGATCACATATTTCCTTAAAATGAGTTTGGAAATACGAACAACTAACATTGATCTTATTTCTCTTCCTTGCCTTAATCATTTCATCCAATTTTGCGTTTTTTATTGCCGTTTCTAAACTTTTGGCATACAGATCCATAAGTGAATTGGGAATATCTAGTGATATCGTTTCGTTTTTGTCTTCAGAAATCCATCTCTTCTTTATTTCAATATTCTGTAACAGATCAAAGAATTCGTCCATATTCTCTTTACAAAATTCGTGAAATAAAGAATCGCCGAAAAGTTCGACAAATAGTTCTAGGAAGCATTTGTTGACTTTGTTTCCTCCCCATGGTCCCCCGGAGGCTTTGTACAGGTTCTGGATCTTACCATCCGGCGAGACTTTCTGAATTGTGATGTCAGAAGTTCCGCCTATGAATAGAAGACAGACAGTTCAATCAGTGAGAGATAAATTCTCTTGGATGGTAAAAATGATATACTTGTCTACGCATATTTGTAGATTACTATACTTAACACACCGAAAAAAGAATCCTTTGGATACCTACCACCTAAATCTACGACAATATATGGCTGATCTACCACAAATTCAGGAGGTTCGTCACTCTCCACTGTTCTATTTGATGTAAGCCGCTTACAATAAAGCGCCGCAGCCTCGGGCTCAAGAGCCAAGTCAAGACGATGTGGACACATCCCTGCCTAAACGGAACGAAATAATAAAGAAAGATTTCATTCCTGTAATCTTTCGGAATGAATTTAAAAAAAAAAAAATAAATATTAGGTTACGTAATGACCCGGTATAAAGTGAAAGCCAATGCATATAGAATATCAGTAATATCCTTCTCGAATCATTGTCAGTTCGATAGGGAAAACTGATAATTAATGTAAATCATTCACATGCTGAAGGAATTACATGTTCTTAATTTTAATTTAGTAAATAGAATAAAAAAGGAATCTTTATAAATGAGAAAATGTAGAACTGCTTCAGACTTCCTTCACGGAGGGCAGCAGCTAGACAAGTAGCAAACTACAGGTATTCCGCTAGCATATTACATCGTTTTTAGACAAAACTTATCTGACAGTGTGATTATAGTTTTTGATTTTTCTTATAAGGAATATGGAGTAATCAAGCTCAAAATCCATTTAGACAATACAAATCGGGAGCAGAGCAAACACAGACCTCCAAAAAACATTAGAGGTGGGATCAGGTGCCATGGAGGAGTGAGCATCCATTGCCGACCGATCACACCCGCCGTATTCTCCTTAGCATGATCGGGAAAAACGTAAAAATCTGTAGACAATTCAGTGTTTAAAAAATGGCCTAACAATTAGTATCATGAAAAATGTCAGTCAGCATTTGATTTTATGATAGGTTGTATTTGCTGACAAGGTCATTGTATCGACCATAAAACTTGCGAAATGATGACTTTAGACGAGACTGTTGATATCCTTGTTTCATCAACGTTTTTGTCAATAGCTTGCCTCGTTTTAGAAATTGTTCATACGTAGAGCATGGTCTTGCGTAACGAATCAACTTGGAGACAAAAACTCCATATACAGGTGATAAAGGTATATTCCTATACATAAGTAAGGGAAGTTGACGATTGAAAAGTTGAAGTCATCACCTTTATCATAAAGCTTTAACTGTTGTTAGGTTACTATAAAAGTCTTTTTCTAGTAAAATATCCAAATATGAAACAGATGTGTAAGACTCTGTGGTATCTTTTATTTCAAGCTCACTGGGACATATCGAGTCGACATAGGAATGGAAGTAACTAGTGTTAATTGGTAATACGTTGTCGATAGACCTAAATGTTGAGTTGAAGGCCACAGCAAGTGTTTTCTCTTTCTCATGGAGAAGATTTGAATAATTTTGCTTCATATGAATACAAATATGGACAATTATTTCATTCTAGGGGATTTTTGATTATTTTCCGTTCAGACGCATTTTTTATCTAATTTAACTTGGGGCGCAAATTAATAATAATAATAATAATAATATTTAAAGGCACATGGTGATCAAAACATTAAACATTTAAGAAAAACTTTAAGGTTATTCAATTGAAACTAGTTTTCAATTTACAAGATTCCGTCGAGATCCAGGAAAAATGGCTATACTAGATCTGTTTTAATACTTTAATTTACCATGACGGCAGCCTCTCTCATGAACTGTTTGGCACCATCATTCCATATTGCCGGGACCGTCACAACATAGAAGATAAATTCCTCCAAAATACCCATGTTACGTCCTTGTAGCATGTCCAGAAAATGTCCACGAAGGAATTTTAAGGATTCTGCAAATATTTTTTGAGCTGATGCATATTTTCCATGGATGTCTTGAATCATTGAATGTCGTGTCAAATTCTGAAGACGGAACAAGTAATATCGCATTATTTATATACTACTTCAACTTGACATAAAAGAATTCAATATAATTATGTTTTCTTTTACTTCATTTTGACAATTTCCTCGTTAATTATAAAAGAAATGCAAAGGAGACGTGTAATCGGTAATTTTTCACAAAGGTAAAAATCACTAAAAAATGTTTTTCTTTACGTGTGGAATAATTTTCTTTAAATCCAAACAATATCTTTAAAAATTAAAAGATTAGCAACAAAACCAGTGCATTTATAATTTATACTCATAATATACATGTATATATACTCAAGTATACACCCTGTAAGTAAAACAATTCAAGTCATTATCAACAAACCATATCATATAAATCCATTTTGAAATCTTTGAAATAAAACCAATCTGCATCTTTTTCATCTTCGGTTAATTTCGAAAACTTTTTACTTGCTGCATGTCCGAAGGCCTGGAAATTCATGACGGGGTCCAGCAGGATTGCCGTCGGAGTCTTTTGAGAGAGCACCTCGCTTTCCCAGTGACTGGCGTAAATTTCAGACCCATTGTTTGTGAGATTTTCTCTCGGAGCAAAAGCATATCCGGAATATGATGTCCCAAGATCAATAGCACAAATCATTGCACATTTCGTCGACATTTTGCAACCCACTAATGAAGAAATTTTGACATGCACATCTTTTTGTGAATTACACAGAAGAATTTATTCTAGACCATTAATTAATCGACAGAACACCTATCTACTTTCGATTTACCTAAAGTCATATACGGGAGCTCATTATGGACAATGGAACTCACCTTTAAATATGATTGAACATATTTTGCCAAGTACATTTAGTTGTGCAAACCCTCCCATATTAATGTATTCAAAATTTATTTTCGATATAGCAATTAACCTTTATGATATTAAATACGGCGAAACAAATTTTATATGAAATAGCAATTTGGAATAAAACAAATGTCAGCAATATCAGCCTTAACCTATTTTCAATTCAGTCGGAAGTCATGAATTTAAGTTACTGTACGTATAACGGATAGAAATCCTTACAAAGGATCCAGTAAAAATTCGATCAAGCCCCTATCTTTAATTTCTCCTAACAAAAAATTAACTGGTGTGAAGTAAATTCGAAATTTCTGTGCTACAACATATTCAAGAAGTCGTTTTAATCAAATGTGGATTCTAGAAAGTAAAGTTAAAATCACAAAATCAGTTTTTCCCCCCAAAATCAATAGCATTAAAACGTATGATTTTTCAACAATTTATACAGCCATTCCACACACACACACACAAATTAAAGACAAGACTTTTGACTTCAAAGACAAACTGCTTCTTCAATAAAAATGTAACTTGATTTTCATACCATGTAATCGGTCATTTACAATTTAAACTAACTTTGTTAAAAACCATTTTGATTTACACACTAGTACTCTACATTAAATTGATATGAAAAGCTGCCGGAGTTCCTAAATTACATCTATGTAATCTTTGGAGACCAGGATTTCTAACAATCTATTGGAATTCCAAAGGGCCCTTATTGTGCCCCTTTACTAGCCAATATGTTTTTTATATTCTTACAGTATGAAGCAGAATTTATTCAAAAACTCCTACGTGAGAAGAAAACCTTCAAATTGACGTTTAAGCCCTGTTCACATGTGCACATTTACTCACAAGTGTATTCCAAAATTCTCCAAGCATCAATTAATTCTACAATAATTTTATTGGACATTTTACTATAAAAAGGAGGGTAAAGGTAATCTAACAACAAAACTTTATGACAAACGTGATTAATTCAACTTTTCTATTGTCAACTTCCCTTTCTTGTGCAGCAATATACCCTTATCACCTGCATATGGGGTTTATATCTCCCAGTTGATTCAATACGCAAGAACATGCTCCACGTACGAACAATTTCTAAAACAAGGCAAGCTACTGACAAACAAGTTTATGAAACAAGGATATCAACACTCTCGTTTAAAGTCATCATTTTGCAAGTTCTATGGTTCGATGCAATGACCTTGTCAGCAAATACAATCTATCATTAAGTCGAATGCTGATTAACGTGTTTCATACTAATTGTTAGGCCATTTTTAAAACATTGAATTGTCTACGGATTTTTCCGTTTGCCCGATCATGACATTTGATCCCACCTATGATGTTTTTTAGAGGTCCATGTTTGCTCTGCTCCCGATCTGTATTGTTTCGATGGACTTTTGAGCTTGATTACCGTTCATTATCGCCATATATCATATACGAATATCATTTCAAACTAGATGTTTGATTGTGCTTTCTTTTAATTTCACGCTCAAAGAAGCATCATACTGTAATCCCAATGCTTTATTGAAATGAATGAATTCCCTCTCTCCAGTATAAGGCAATTTTTAAGAAAATCATGATTAAAAAAATTAATAAAATTGAAGATTATAGATTATATACGTATTTACTCACAGTACATAAAATCACGCTAGAACGCATAGTAAATTTACTTTTGTGCATGAGCTAATTTGCTCATGAGTAATATACTCAAGAGTAAAAATCTCGCCCTACAAACACAGTATTATAAGAAGAATGCGATTTTTTACCTGTCCATGCAGTTCCCCTTTTCCTCACTATTCTTTGTCCAAATGCTACTTAAAACAAAATATGAATTTAACAGCAGAAGGTCAACATTCTTTCTAATATATGATAAAATTCACTTTTCTTGGAAGTAACTCAATGTTTTTACAAACAAATTCAATACCTGCACACATTGTAAATTTTGTTACGTATTCGCTTGGCTGAAAATACACCAGGAATAAATTTACTCACGTAAAAATTAATTTGCACCTATAAGTTAAATGCTGACTGATGTTTTTTATGCTAATTGTTAAGCCATTATTTACCAATTGAATTGTCGACGGATTTTTCCGTTATTTCCCGATCATGACAAGGAGCACACGGCGGGTGTGACCGGTCGGCAGGGGATGCTCACTCCTCCATGGCACCTGATCCCACCTCTGATGTTTTAGAGGTCCGTGTTTGCTCTGCTTCTGATTTAAATCGTTTGAATGTACTTATGAGCTCGAATACTGTTCGTTATCTCCATATATTTCATGTACTTAATGAACCTTACAAAGACGACATTGTTAATTACGAGCCAAAACATATTTTTAGTCTTTCTGTTTCTTTTATCACTTCCGGTCTACTGAAAACGGAAGGATAGACAGTTCGCATATTGTCCTTTAATTTTCTAATCCGATTCTTTATATATCTAAAACACTTTAAATATCCATTCTGACAGAGTATCAAGGTCTTCCCCCTTCATATTTAACCCATAGTCTAGCATACTATTCGACCGAATTCATAATAGAAACTATTTGAGAGATCTGGAATTCCTGAATTGAGGACCTTTTAAAATGATAGTTTTAGGTTGTCATTTTGAACCGGTATATTTACATCACCAGTAATGATATGTCCAGTTGGAATATAGTTGAAAAAGAGAAAAAACAAGAACACTCAAGAGGATTTTGTGTTAGATGGACAATATCTACGCACTGTAGAGCTTGTAATTGGAAAAAAAAACTGTAGGAAATACAAGGTGTAGACTTCAACTTAAAATATGGTGGAATACAAGACTGAACTTTTTTTATGATTAAGAGTATTGTTGCTAATGTTTACAGCGTCTATACCTTTCTTAGCAAAAATAGACAGGTTGATTAGGAATTGTTATCTTTCGTGACCAGTGTCAGTTTAAAGAGTCTGTGTTGAGCAGCATCCATAATCACAAACACTAGTTAGTTCGGATGTTGATGAATCCATGTATAGCATATAAAAGTTTCAGAATAAAGTTAAGTGCAAATTTGATGTAGACCTACTTATTTATATCATTGACAAAAAGTAATAACGAATCAAATGAAACATCATATATATTTGTTTACTGTATGATCGATGTCCATGACTGCGCTAACGTCTTGGTTTACTGTTCAAAAGTCTAATCACGTTCACAATGGTACACTGCGGGCTTGAAGAGTTTCCTACATTATTGATGTGGTCATATGGAAATGCAGTTTCAAGTTTCCTAATCCAGTATTCTTCTTGTTGTCGAAAGAAATTGGATACTTAAAGTAGGGCTATTAGTGGGATAGTAATTTTTTCTCTAAAATTCTAACACTCATAGAAAGAACAGAATGGTTATGGGATTTGAAATGTTTATAAAGATATCGCGAGTCCCCATTATTTATTTGAAACCCTTATTCTCTTGTTGAGTGAGCCCTTGGTTTCTCCAACACAAATAAGACCACAAAGATTACATTCAATTCCATAGACAACGTTAGAAGACTTACAACTCAGATCTTCACAAGTTTTGGTGATAAATCATTGTCCCGTGAAGTCATGAAATTCTATCAAAAGTTTTGAAGGATTTAAACTTGAAAAATTGTGTCTATGCCCCTTTGACCAACTAACTACTAAACTATACAGCCAACGTGATGACATCAGCTTTTCCATTCTCAACTTCCCCTTTTTATGTAGTTATATTCCACTATAACCTGAATATCCTCCAAGTCGATCGTCGTCCAACGGATTCGGTATGCAGGAGATTGTTCTTAGCACGATTAACTTTTTAACCAAGACTACTGCCAAATAAATTGGTGTTACAGGGCTTTAAGCAAACCCAGAATTTCGCAAATTATATCATAATGGTTGATATGATGACCTTGTTTGCAATTACAACCTATTGTTGGTTCGATTTTTGTCTGATATGTTTCATACCAAATTGGAAGGTAATTGGTTTTACTCTAATTTTGAATACAGATCACTCTGTTAACCTGATAAATACAAAGGGGTTCCGTCAGGTCTGATCTGTCGACAGGGGGAAATTCTCGAATGCTAGAAAGTTGATTTTCTCGAACACTCAAATTGAAGGAATACATGTCTCCGAGCACAATTTAAAATCAAATAATTACTAGAAATACAAGGATAGAACTTTTAAAGGGTTATTGGCGGGGTGGTATTTTTGTTACTTTTGCTTTGTCAAATGAATCTAGATCCCCAACTTTAGAATCACTGAGCGGGGTGCTACATGTGGCTTACGATAATTGACAAAAGAATCATCAACAATTAGTTTAGATGTGTAATTATTTTATGATTCCAAACTATAACAATCGCTATTTGATTATTTATGTTTCTCCTGTTCGATACGAATCAGGGAAATTTTACAAAAAAAGACTATAATGTCACTTTGGATTACTAGATCAAATTGCTGTGTTGCAGCAGTTCTGATGTAAGTATTTATTCTAATATCACATGAAGATTAGTTAAGAGGAGTGCCTTAATATATTTCTGTCTGTTTTGTTACCCTGTAAGTTTGTATTATAGTACAAGATATCAGCATTATAACAGAACTCTCTTTTGAATTCAGAAATAACACTGCTTACTCGGAGATAAGTGAAGTTTACCTTGTGCATATGGACTACAGAGATATGCAGTCATGGTGTCTTGTATCAACTTTTCTGTTGAAAATCTGCCAACACCTTAAGAACTTTGCAGATTTGTCAGAATGATAAAAATAAACCCATAAACTATTAAATCTGTGTGCTTAAGGTCAAGATCTGGTAAATGATTCTAGACTGTCTATTTAGTGCTAGGTCCATTATGATGTCATAATGGATTTAAATTTACTTTTTCCCGTACTTTACGGCTATAACAGAATAATGTAGAAAATGACGCATTTTCTTGGAATTCAATTTGAAATCATGTCAAAAGGAACCCCGATACCTATATTCATTTTAATATCATGTAAAAGAAGAGGACAAGAAGATATGAAAAACCGTTTTCTGAGAGGCTGTAGGCAATATTGATACATTTCCTTTGTCTGATATCGAGAAAACTCCCATTTTTATACCTGATTTTCTTCATTTTTCATCGAAAAAGGCAGTATAAAATATGTTTTTCGTTGAGTTTATCTATAGTATGCCCCGATACACCTTAATTTATTAAGCTATAATTGTAATGGATTATTAAAGGAATTTGTTTCTCAAATTTGAGAAATCTGTAGGCACGTTTCATTTACTAGATCTTGACCTTATACACAAATTTCCCAAAACATTTCATGAGTTCCAAAAAATAAAAATGTTTCTGATATCATAATATCTGATAACACACCATATTATGTACATGGTATTTTCTAATATCAGAAATTCTAGCTTTTGGTATCAGAATATAATCTGAAATCAATAAATAATTATCTGATTTCAAGAAATCGATGCATTTTTTTCTCATCTAAAAAAACTCGATTTTTATATGAATATTATTTTTTTTATTTTGTATGAATAATTTTACCGAAAATGTCCGCGTTCATTCATATAAAACAATGATTTCTCTCCTAAATATTGCAGGAAATCCAAATTGTGCCAACTCCTGAAACTGTTACGCTTTCGTTTATTCTTTTCAACATGTCTATCTTCTCAAGAACCACTGGCCAAAAAAATAAATAAATAAATAAATAAAACGGGGGGGGGGGGGTTGTTGTTGGCTGGGAACACAATCGAGGATCAAATTTTTCATGGGAATTTAAAAAAAAATGTAGATCTTTTTTTTTCAAGTAAGCTGAACCATGATTAGTGATATTAATATGCAAACACCGTCAGGTCATGTAGATTCAAGTTTTTTTGGGGGGGTGGGGGTGCGGTGGGGGGAGTAGGATCAAGAATCAAACAATATATGATCTTTGCTAAGAACAACATGGTCATGATTAGTCAAACTGATATGCAAGCATCCTTAGGTAGTGTACATTTAAGTTTTTTTCAAATCATGGCACTTGGGGCTAGTATGGAGCCAATGTTCTAAAGAAAAGCAGATCCATTGCTGTGACTCAGACTAGCATTAATTATGGCCCATTGGCTTCTTGTTTGATACTGCGATTAATTTCTGATATTAAAAATGAATTTCTGATATCAAAAAAAAAAAAAAAAAAAAAAAAAAAAAATTATGGTGTCATAAAGTTATGTTGTATGTTGGTGTTAGGAAAGTTTTTTAAAATCAAAAATGGAATAGGTGATATCATAAAATTTAATTTTTGATTTAATACACGTTAATTTTTGATTGGATACCTGTCTAACTTAAATATCAGAAAAAGATAACAATAAATCAAAATTTGTGCTATCATAAAATAATTGTCTTATATTAAAAATTCGATATTTGTGATTTCAAGATTTAATACACGATACCAAAAAATTCTTTTTATAAATGTCAGAAAATGCAAAAAATAAAAAAAAAAGACTCCATGCAGTGTCATAATGTTCTTAAAAAAACTGTAAAGTTGAATGATTTTAATTTAAAATTTATTAATGCTCTAAAGACGAGTAGAATTAGTTGAAATATTTAGTGCTATAGCATCCACAATATCCGGAAAAATATTTTCTTCACCTACTGTTTCTATGAGCTCTGACCTCCTCATAACGGACAGAAAACTATCTGTACATCTAATTAAGAGAACCTTAATCCCAACATAGCGGTATTCTTTGACAACGAGCGAGAGTGTGGAAATTCCATTGACATCTACATAGTTAAAGGAAGAACAGTCAATTATAACAAGCCTCTCGTTGCTGCTTGTATTCTCTGCTTCCGTTTTATCATCACCCTTGGTAGGAGTGGACTCCACGGAGAGGGTGACTTCCGTTTTATCGTCACCCTTGGTAGGAATGGACTCCACGGAGAGGGTGACTTCGTTTGAATCCTCGGGGTTTTGTGTTCTAGGGTCCCATGCTACTCGATAAAGACTTTCACGAAAGAATTCTGATGTTGCAAAGTAAAGTGAGGATTCCATTTTGAAGACCTTTACACCAGGAGGTAAAACTGTAAAGTTTGTTTCTCCGATGTACAAGTCTTCATTTCGCAGTTTTCCAATCAATCCTTTTTTCCCTCTCTGGCTTTGAAACACTACCAGAAAAACACTTAATCCTACACCGCAGTATAAAGCATATGGAAAGTCAATGAATACTCCAGTAGCTAACGTAGCAATCCAAACAGTAAAATCATATTTGTTTATCCTCCATAACCGGGGTAAATTGCGAAATTGTAGAAGCAGGTTCTTTACCGCCATGATGACCATTATAGACAGCACAGGTAACGGTAAGTACTGAAAATATTCTCCCAAAAATAGCAATATAAGCAAAATCACTAGGGCAGAGAAAATCCCATTTATGGTAGTTTTAGCGTCCATAGATTTAAGTAAGATGGTACGCGGTGGTGCCACGCATGAGGGAAAGCAAGAGAAGAAAGAACTGCCAAAGTTGGACATTCCATATGCCACAAGCTCCTGATCAGCATTGATGGCGTTCTTAGATTCGCATACTTTGGTCATTGATATGGTCAGAACAAATACGATGATAGCAATAACAATAGAATTTCCTATGATGCCACTTCTGAGGTCTGGGAGGGTGGGGGTCGGTACACCTGGAGGAATATTGCCGACGACTGGAATCCTGTACTGGGAATCTAATTCGCCAAAATAAGACACGACACTACCCAAAATCACCAGAATAAGGTCTATTGGAATTGGCATAAACATTTTCGATTTGAATTTTTCATTGATGAAATCTTTCACAAATATTAAAATTATTATGCACACAATGGATGTGACAATGGAACCAACATTAGCCGTTGTGATTTTCTTAAAAATTTCGATATATGTTATTACAATCTTGCCAGGACCCGAAATCAAGGGTATTCGAACTCCAAGGCTCTTTGGAACCTGGCTGGTCATGATGTGGATAGCAGCAGTGGTTGTGAAGGCTCCAACAAAAGGTGATGACATGTATGATGCAATGAATCCAAGTCTTAATAATCCCAAAACAAGAAGCAGTACCCCCACTATAAACGAGGAACCAGCTGCGATGGCTGCTTTCATTTCCACAAAATCCTCCTCACTGATTTGTTCGTCAGTGTTGTTGGAACTGTAAGCGCCTCCACTCGAGGCCGGTGTAGTCACCTGACTCTGTATGAGATTTGCAGTGAACAAGGAGATGACGGCGTTTGTTCCGAACGACACAAACGGACAGGTTCCGAAAATTACATATAAAACAACAGGAAAGAATGACGTGTAAAGTCCATATTTTGGAGCTAGAGAAGATAGTATACCGAAAGCCATACCTTGCGGAAAATGCAAACAGGCTGTCGACAGACCACTGACAGCATCTTTCAGGAGGTATTCTTTGATTTTGTAATGACGCAATACGCTGACAATAGGAAACAGAGAATATAAATACCTCAACACGGATTTACAGGTACAACGTGGGGAGCCCCGAATACTCTTGCGCTTTCCATCGTCGTTTTGATTCTCCGCAAGATCATCCAACTCGGCTTGAGTTCTAGGAAAACGCATCAATGAAAGATATTCAGAGACATCTTCGTCAGAAGAACATTTTTCCAGTTGATGGTTTTGAAGATCATTGAGTCTGGGGAAAAATAAATCTTCATGCATATATTATATATTAAAGATTTCATACTAAATTCGACAATTCTTGAGTCGAAAACAATCACATTTCCATTAAAAAAATCAGTTGACTTTCATAAAAACTGTTAGTCAAAAGATTGTCGATATGATGAAAGCATTGATAAACGAGGGGGAAATCCTACTCTGAGAAGAAAAGAGGAAGAAATTTGACTCTAGAGTGAGACTTCCCTTCGGAGGAAATCCAACTCTAGAGTACAGATTCCGTGGGTGGGGGAGGGGGGAGGGAGGTTGGCTATGGGAGAAATCCTACTCTACAACACCGGATCACAAATCCAAAACTACATTTTTCGACAAATGAGATACATTGTGAGTTTACTAATGTCATGTGGGTACTACAGTCTATATTTGTTGTCAGTCTGGTCCCTACGGTATCTAGCTTCACTGAAATGTGCACAAAACTTTATCTCTTCTCTACCACAGTTACCAAAACTTTTTTGATTTGTCTGATAACTGCCAAGACACAAGGTTATCAGCATGACATCGTAATCTGTGCCAGACCTGCATGCATTTGATAAAATTGATATAGATGACATGACCTCATTTTTTGAATGTATGTTAGAAATAGAGAAAGTTGTCTAGTTGTAATTTTACTTGTACTCCACCCAGAAAAGTTAAGAAATAAAATAGGACTTGGCAGTCACTTTACAAAAATGTTCATGTTACGACTAATGTTGCAACTTTGCATTTACTACAAAAACCTGATTCACTATATATACAAAATGTCTAAAATATCGTATAAAAATGCAGCTTTCATTTTAAAAAAGTTTTAAAAGATAAAAGAGGTTGTCTTCATTGATTTTGTTATAGATATAATAAGATATAAATATAGCTGACATGGTATTCACATGGTAAAAGCGATAATGCACAACTTAGGAAAATACATAATTTAAAAAAAGCTCCATCTTACATGTGATTTCTCATTAAATAATTATTTCCAATTAAGAGAAGATAATGATTATCAATACTTACGTCGTCATATTTTCATTCTACTTCTAATTATATATCACCGGTTTAAAAAAGAACAACCCACTCTGGTTCCAGAAAAAAACCCTGATACCGTGTTCATTATTTAGTATGGAGATATAACCCGGTCTTTTAAACATACAACAAGAATATATAACTAGATGCGATCTCGTTGCGAGCAACGAGTGGGTCTTCCGTCCGATTTTTGATAAGATGAGATACGAATTTGACTGAGATTTTCGTTCATAAATATATGAATAGTGAAAACGTACAATTTGCTTCAGTTATGTTTAACAAAATTTTGATCATTATTGCACCAGAAAACGCAATATTTGATGAAGATTTTAAAATATTTATAGTAGCAGATCGTGAAGATGAACATTACTGTAAAAAGGTTATAGATGAAAGACTTTTAGCCCCTCTGAGCCCCTAATTTGAGGGGTCTTGATATCACATGAAAGGTCTTGTAATTCTGAAGAATTTTCGTTCAACAACTATTCAGTTTTCGAGATATGCAGACTTGAAATATTTAGGGCCATCCCTTTAAGTCCTTATAGGGGCTGTTTAGGGAAAATACAAAGGATGCACATTGTTGAGATCATCATTCTAAACAACTTTTGTTCAATATTGCTTTTCAAAATGTTTCCCCTTTTCGAGATATAAAGCTTCAAAGATTAAGCATTCTGGCCCCTTATGGCCCCTAATTACGTAATATTTGAAGAAAATTTTAAAATATCTAGTTGCAGATTGTGAAGATGAACATTTTTGCTTCAATATTTAATATCAAAATATTTAACGTTAAGGAGTTATAGATGAAAGACTTTTGGCCCCTCTAAGCCCCTAATTTGAGGGGTCAGCCCCTTTTTCTTGATATCACTTGAAAGGTCTTGTAATTCTGAAGACTTTTTGTTCAACAACTATTCAGAAGTTTCGTTTCGTTTTCGAGGTATGTAGACTTGAAATATTTAGGGGCCGTCCCTTGAAGTCCTTATAGGGGCTGATTAGGAAAAATTCAAAGGATGCACATTGTTCAGATCATCATTCTAAGCAACTTTTGTTCAATATTACTTTTCAAAATGTTTCCCCTTTTCGAGATATAAAGCCTCAAAGATTAAGCATTCTGGCCCCTTATGGCCCCTAATTACGTAATATTTGAAGAAAATTTTATGATATAAAGTTGCAGATTGTGAAGATGAACAATTTTGCTTCAATAATTAATATCAAAATATTTAACATTAAGGAGTTATAGATGAAAGACTTTTGGCCCCTCTGAGCCCCTAATTTGAGGGGTTAGCCCCTTTTTCTTGATATCACTTGAAAGGTCTTGTAATTCTGAAGACTTTTTGTTCAACAACTATTCAGAAGTTTCGTTTCGTTTTCGAGATATGTAGACTTGAAATATTTAGGGGCCGTCCCTTAAAGTCCTTATAGGGGCTGTTTAGGAAAAATTCAAAGGATGCACATTGTTCAGATCATCATTCTAAGCAACTTTTGTTCAATATTACTTTTCAAAATGTTTCCCCTTTTCGAGATATAAAGCGTCAAAGATTAAGCATTCTGGCCCCTTGTGGCCCTTATTTATGTAACATATGACGTAAAAATCATAATATATAGTTGTAGTTTGTTGAGATAAATAATTTTGCTTCAGTAATGTATACAAAAATATTGCTTATTTAAGAGTTATCGATTAAAGACTTTCGGCCCCTATTGGCCCCTAATGTGATGAGTCAGCCCTTTTTTCTTGATATCATGTTACAGATCTTTTTATTCTGCACAAATATTGTTCAACATGTTTTAACAAAATAATTATACTTTAAAAGATATGATACAAAATGTCTCAAAAATTCACTCATGATTCGTGTCCTAAATTTCGACCCCTACCGAGCTTCCATACTAGGCACTTCCGGAAAATTTCTTAACCCAGGTGCAATATGGCAACATGTCCTCTATCATCACTGAAAATTTCAGCGCTCTAGCTTAAGCCGTTTTTGTGTTCCATCGCAGACAAGGAGGTGCTCTGAATTTTAATAAAAGGGCGATAACTCTCGACCGGAAGTAAATATCCCCTAACAGACTTGCCGGAATTAACTTCAGATGTCAATGCATCTACCTTGAAAATTTGAATGAAATCGAACGAGCCATCTCCGAGAAATCCTCTGCACAAATTTTGTAAGGAGAAAAAAGAATAATAATAATAACTAGATGAGATCTCGTTGCGAGCAACGAGTAGGTCTTCCGTCCGATTTTTCGATAAGATGAGATATTATTTTGACTATGATCTTTGTCAAAAGATAATAATATATAGATTTCCCTAATTAGATTTCATTCTTTTGATTTATATAAGATTATCAAAAAGCTACAGATGACATGATTTGGCCCCTCTGAGCCCCTAGTTTGAGGGGTCAGCCCCTTTTTCTTGATATCAATTGAAAGTTCTTGTGATTTTGAAGACTTTTTGTTCAACAATTATTCAGAGATTTCTTTTCGTTGTGGAGATATGCTGAATGGAAATCTTTAGGGGCCACCCCTCGAAGTCCTTAATGGGGCCGGTTGACAAAAATTGAAAGGGTGCATATTGTTTAGATATTATTCTGACCATCTTTTGTTCAGTATTGCCTATCAAAATATTCTCCCTTTTCGAGATATAAAGCGTCAAAGATTTATCATTCTGGCCCCTTGTGACCCCTTATTACGTAACGTATAACCAATATCTTATCATATATTGTTGTAAATCGTTAAGATAAGCATCTTTGCTTCAGTAATGTATTACAAATTATTGATCGTTAAAGAGTTATACATGAAAGACTTTTGGTCCCTCTGAGCCCCTAATTTGAGGGGTCAGCCCCTTTTTCTTGATATCAATTGAAAGGTCTTGTGATTTTAAAGATTTTTTGTTCAACAACTATTCAGAAATCTATTTTCGTTTTCGAGATATGCTGAATTGAAATATTTAGGGGCCGTCCCTTAAAGTCCTTAATGGGGCCGTTTTGCAAAAATTGAAAGGTTCATATTGTTTAGAACATTATTCTGAACATCTTTTGTTCAATATTGCTTTTCAAAATATTCCCCCTTTTTGAGATCTAACGCGTCAAAGATTTAGCATTCTGGCCCCTTTTGGCCCCTTATTACGTAACATATGATCAAAATTTTAAACCATATAGTTCCAAATCGATAAGATAAACATTTTTGCTTCAGTAATTTATAACAAAATATTGATCGTTTAAGAGTTATATATAAAAGACTTTTGGCCCCTCTGAGTCCCTAATTTAAGGGATCAGCCCTTTTTTCTTGATATCAATTGAAAGGTCTTGTGATTTTAAAGATTTTTTGTTCAACAACTATTCAGAAATCTATTTTCGTTTTCGAGATATGCTGAATTGAAATATTTAGGGGCCAGCCCTTCAAGTCCTTAATGGGGCCGTTTTGCAAAAATTGAAAGGTTGCATATTGTTTAAAACATTATTCTGAACATCTTTTGTTCAATATTGCTTTTCAAAATATTCCCCCTTTTTACGATATAAAGCGTCAAAGATTTAGCATTCTTGCCCCTTTTGGCCCCTTATTACGTAACATATGATCAAAATTTTAAACCATATAGTTGCAGAATGTTAAGATTGACATTTTTGCTTCAGTAATTTATAACAAAATATTGATCGTTCAAGAGTTATACATAAAAGACTTTTGGCCCTTCTGAGCCCCTAATTTGAGGGATCAGCCATTTTTACTTGATATCAAATGAAAGGTCTTATCATTTTACACATCTTTTGTAATACATGTTTTAACAAAATATTTACAGGTAAAAAGATATAAAAGAAAACGTTTCAAATTTTGCGAGATGTTTGTGAGCCTATTTTTCGAGTCCAGGCGAGCTTCAACGCCATTTGAGCTGGAAAGATATAGATGCCTAATTGCACATCTACAATCTTTCCTCTATCTTCACTGAAAATCTTAACTCAATATCTTTAGTCGTTTAGGAGGAGTTTCCAGGACAAGCCGACCCTCTG